ATTGCCGATTGGTTAGGAATCAAAGACGTAACAACTTTGCTCGAAACTTTGTCCATCATTCATTGATTTCAGCAACGTCTATCGTTTTCTGTCCATCTGTGCGACCTGTACCTATCAATGTGCATATTCAAGGTTTTCCTGACAACATTACTGTTCTAGGATGGTTTTAATGAACAAATCGGAATTTCAGAGTACGGAACCAGGATATCGTTCATTAATGCTCATATTTAGGAATTACTACCTATTCACCGTTCAAGCCTGTTACAGTGTTTGTAGCTTCTAGAAGACAGACCCGATTGACAGCTATGTCTTTCATCTATCACTTAGTCTCGCAGGTTAACCCTAAGCAATGACTTCACATGGTAGAACACGAGGTTTGGGAATAAGAGTACGTTCGTGATTTTACAATGTTTGAGCTGGAAATGCAATTGATGCCAAGTAAAGATGAAAACCTGAAGCTCACTCTGCAGTTTGGTATTCGAATGCATCATGCAGGTTTGTCGCCTTCCGAACGTGGCGTTGTTGAACGTAGCAAGAAGCAGTTCTATAAGAAGTTCTTGTACAAGCCTTTCTTTGTAGAATCGAGGTTTGCGTTGATCACAGTTTCGTTTCTTCAAGTGTCATTCAGTATGCTACCTGTGCTGGCTAATCCTGTCAATGCTGAAATCAGTTTGGGAACAACCTCTACTAAACAAGGAATTATGGAGGATATATCAGGCACTTACTTCTACAGAAAACTGTTTGCTAACCCCAAGTAGGTGAAGTCACTTCTTCAAGTCTAATAGATGTTCAGCTTCTACGATCTCCAAAATCCTAGTGAGGAGGCTCTGATAACATTTTTAACGAACGTTGTAGATCAGGTCATGGCTGATTTGGTGTATTCATGTTCATACTCATTTGAATCTGCTTCTCATGCTCTTTCCTTGGATGATACGCGCTTTCTATCTCCTCTACACCATGAAAAGTTTTTTTCTCGAGAATTCTCTTAAATCTTCGGGCTATCAAAATGTTTTTTTCCATTTTCCATTCTTCGTTTCTCAGTGAGACGTCCATGTTCATATTCATTCGCTTTGGTTTCTCGTGCTTTTCCCAAATATGGTACGCGCTTCTCGTTGATCATGAGAAAATTTTTTTTTCCGGAATCTTCTCTGGATAACGCGACGAAATTTTTTCTTTGTCCAGATTGTGTCTTGTTTTTCAATTGATATATTCATGTTTGCAATCATTTTGATTAGCTCTTCTTTCTCTTTCCTATTATGGTACGCGCTTTCAGTTTCGTTCTTGTTGAGAAAATTTTTTTTTTCGTTTTTAAACCATTGAAGATAGAAACTGTCCCTACTGAGAAAGAGGAGGAATTGGTTCCCGCTGATGGGTAAGTTCATTCTTTCTTCTCCTTATATGGTTTGTTTCTGTTATGTATGTGTTGTTGTGAATCATTTCGTTCTGAATAAATATTTTGAATCAGAAGGTCTTTGTGTTTGATATTGGGAAGAGGGAGGGGGAGCAGTGAGGACTTTGGCTGATCCGAGTGGAACAAGGTGGACTAAGATCTCAGTTATCTCAT